GTCTACATCTGGACATGTGAGTGGTGGGTGGTGGTGTGTCGTCTACATCTGGACATGTGAGTGGTGGTGGGTCGTGGTGTCTCGTCTACATCTGGACATGTGAGTGGTGGGTCGTGGTGGGATCTGATGGGTCATGGTGGGATGTGGTGGGACGTGGTGGGATCTGATGGGACATGGTGGGTTGTGGTGGGATGTGATGTGGTGGGACGTGGTGGGCTGAGAGTAAACATATTGTTCATGTTGTCCTCCCCAGAGACACGTCAAAGGTGAGATGAGCCGATCATGTGACACAGGACACATAGCATAGGACTCATGTGACACGCGACACACGGAGGACAGGACACATGGCACACTTCACACGGGACACATTGCTCAGGACACATAGGACAAGTGACACAAGACAGAGGACACACGACACTCTTCAGTACCGTCACTTCCTGTGTGTCGTCCAGGAGTTGTACAGCAGTTTTTGTGATTGGGACGTCATGTTCTGTCAGTTGTCCCATGTTGTCCCCCCATGTTGTCCCATCTTGTCCCCCCATCTTGTCCTCCCATGTCTTCCCATGTCCCCCCATCTTGTCCCCCCATGTCTTCCCATGTCCCCCCATCTTGTCCACCTATGTTGTCCCATGTCCCCCCATCTTGTCCCCCCCATGTTGTCCCCCCATGTCTTCCCATGTTCCCCCATCTTGTCCCCCCATGTTGTCCCATCTTGTCCCCCCATGTTGTCCCATCTTGTCCCCCCATGTTGTCCCATCTTGTCCCCCCATGTCGTCCCATCTTGTCCCCCCATGTCGTCCCATGTTGTCCCATATTGTCCCCCCATGTTGTCCCATCTTGTCCCATGTCATCCCATCTTGTCCCATGTCCCCCCATGTTGTCCCATGTCCCCCCATCTTTTCCCCCCATGTCCCCCCATCTTGTCTCCCCATCTTGTCCCCAATGTCCTCCATGTCCCCCCCATGTCCCCCCATCTTGGTCCATCATGTCCCCCCATGTCCCCCCATCTTGGTCCATCATGTCCCC